AAATTCTGTTAAAGACAAATCCCAGCAGAAGGCAATACAGCACTGCAAAGACTGGATCTTTTTCTAAGGAAGCCCACATGAAACTTTGGACATACTGCACTTTTTTTTACATGTAAATTCCCATTCTGAGCAAGCATACACAAAATTGAGCATGTTTGCACATGCAAGGCTTAAGAATCCTTGTCAAACAAGTATAACCAAACTACTCTATTTTTAAGAAGCTGTAGTAAGTACATTTCTTTTAGCCATATATATACGTATAATTTCTTTTTCCATAGATACATAATCCCAGACTTTCACTAAGGAATGCTATAAAGGCAGCACCATCTAGTGGTACCAAAACCACAATATAGTATTTTCAGTGGCTTCCTTGAAGAGAATTCTATTGAAAACATAGAAGAAACTCTCAAATGAAATTATTTTTCAAATATCCACATGACATCTACATATTGGGTTTTTTTTTAATTCAGCAAGAACATGAATAAATAACATTTGCAAGCTCTTGGTATACATGTACACATTTTCTGTTGCAGGTACTCTTTGAAAGGGGAAAAGGTATGTGAATGGGTGTATTAATCACAGAGGATAAAGTACGTTTCTTTTTATTGTACATATATATAAAAATGTATTTTATAAAATGATCAATTATTGAAATAGTTACTATTCACACCTTTTCTTCCAACTTTATTATTTAATGCTGCAGGTATAAGATTTAGACGAGAACCACCTATACAGACATAAGAAATATTTAGCAGCCCTGGACCAGTTAATATTCTCCAAGACACATTCCAGTGAGTCTTAGTTTATCTTGCTTCAATATATACAGTCCATAACAGAGCCAATCACTTTGCAAAAATCAGAAGGGTTCAATGTGTAAAACCAGTTGTTTTCTGCAGTGACTGCATTGGCATATGTATTTACATCTGTGCTAAGTAGCTGTACAGCGCTGTGACTATCACTTGGTAGCACTTTGAATCATCCTACCATCTGCTTTTCACATGGCCCTGTAAATCCTCTATTGACACTTCTGTGACACTTCAGGAGGTGAAAAACTCTCCAATGCATCTGCTACGAAGGGAGCCTGCCAGCACAAACTGGCATTGTTCTGAAACACCAAGAACTGGGGATTTGTTGTAGCTCTTCTGAGTTTTTCTCTGGGCATGGACAGGGTAAGTTTGACTTTACGAAATACGTAAATCATTAGTAATTATATGATAGCATTTTTTAGAGTTATGAGCGTTATGTGACAACATGACAAAGGAAGGAAAAACCTCAGTGATCAAAACCAGCAGTGGCCTTTTTTATATATATTGTGGGAATAGTACACACATCAGGCACCCAAACTGCTCGTCTCATTCCATTTCTCTCAGCCTGAGCCATCCTACATGCAGTCCACAGCTCACCTCTCTAGTTCCTGGACTTTGACCTCATGTGATATTTGGTATAGCCCCACATACACCACTTTGAGTGGCTCTCCCACTTCCATTCCCAGTCCCATGTAACAGCACAGCTTTTCTGTTTCTACCTCCAAATACACTCCCAGTGCCTGCTCCTCTCATAGTCACAGCTGCCAGGCATGCTACTCTTCATTTTCACAGCCTCATCACTTCTGGGGTATTTAAGGAGCTCCAAAGTTTCATTCACCACTGGCATACAATTTTGCTGCAGTTGTGACAACTTCAGCACTGACCCCATAGATTCCTGTCACATCTATGAACCTACAAGACAGTAAGGAAAAACAGAACAGAATGACTGAACAGAGTAACTTTAGTTAAATAACCACTTTATGGAACTCTTTTTACCATACTCCATCATTTCATGGCTGGTTGGGAATATTTGGGGGGTTTTTTGTCTTCATCCTGTCTCACAGTAAATTTGTTCTAAACTTTCATTCTCCTGGTGGCTAAAAACTTTCTGCACCAGTTTATTCATTGCAATTGGTCATATTGGCTTTGGAAAAACATTCCTTTTATCTCAAGAAGTAAACACCTTAACTTAAAAGTATTTGAGGAGAACATTCCTGTTCTCTCACAACATTCACTTTTCTAGGCTAACTACATAAAAAATTTTGAGGATACATTTTCACTACCTGTTATCTGATCCAACTGGAAGGAGTAAAATCAACTCAGCAGTTTTGTGTCCAAAGAAACAAGTTCTTGTAAGCCCATGGTTACAGAGCTTCCAGATGTGCCAGGGCTTGATCTGCAAGCAAACCAAAGGGAGGCAGAGGAAACTATTAACCTGATAATCTTAGTGTTTTATAACCTGTTCAAATCAAACTCCATCTTTCTTGAATACTTAAGCGCACTGTACAGAGCATTCAAGATGAAGTATCTCTGATAGAGATTGGGGAAGAATAGATAAGACTGCATCTCATTCAGTGTGAGCTGTATTTATCATTATTCCAACACACTTGCAGTTTCTAGTCACCTTTGATTACCTAGGCCTTCCTCTACACTTTTCATTTTCTACTGTTGAGCTCCTCAAATAAATTATTTTTATTCCTTACATACATATCTTTTGTTATTAAATTCCAACCCATTTCTCTTACACTCTGAGTTCTATTTTTGTTGTTGTTTTGGTTTGGTGTGATTTTTTTTTTACACTTCATATTCTAATTCTTTATATCATTAATACTCTTCTATGTATTAAGCAATTAATCAAAACATTAACATTAGAGTCAGTCCTAGGGTATTTCTTGAGTAACTTTGCCAGTATCTTTCCTCCAGAATGACAGTATCCTTAACATAATATTATCTCACCTTCTGCCAGGTTCATGACACACCTTAAATTCTTGTAAGAATCCCCATATTTTCTAGCTGCACTAGCAATATCCCATGAAGCAGTGAACCTTCCAGTTCTATACAACAATTTAAAAACTTTATTATGCTAAAGAAAAATGCAATTATTAATAGTCATTAAAATAAGACTCAGAACTTGTAAATTCTATATAAATATTTTATTATGTATAAAAGACAACTTACATGGGCAGATGCTCTATTCAAACAATTACAGGCTTTCTGTTATCATGAAAAGATACAAATGTTTTAAAAAGCATTTTAGAATGCCTCTTCCATCTTCTACAGTGATGTGTAACCAAGGCCCTGATACAAGCAGCAAATGTACTGCAGCGTAGCAATGGCTGGTGTTTCTAACGATTCTATGACAATGCAAAAGGAGGGTACCACGGGGAATCCAGATTTGGATTCAAGGCAGGAGCTCTTTGTCTCCAAATCAACAAAACCAGGCAAAGTTATGGAGTCAAATACTCAATCCTCAGACTTTTGAACAGACCTTCGCAAAACATCTCCTTTGGGATGTCAGCTGGCTCTGAAAAATGCAGCTCTTCTTATTATGTTTTGGATGGACACAATTGAAAAAAACAATGGGAAAGAAAAGAAAAAAAAGGGAATAATCTGAAGCCCTAGAAAACAGCATCAGAAGGCAAGCTTGTTCAAGAAATATACCCTTCACAGATTCCCTGGTTTTCTTATAGGATGTATATATGCTCATCACAGGAATAACATTTTAAAGTCATCGTATAAGCATTTAATCCATTCACAGAACAGATGAATTTTGCTTAGCGTTATTATTTTATATACCAGATCCATACAAAGGACATTTTGGGTTTCTTTTGTCAAGACCTTGAAAAGGCACTACAATAAGGAATCAAAATACTACAAGGATGTGACTGTAGTAGTTGGCTCTGTGGAATTTCATGTACACCATTAAAGGTACAGTGTGTTATTTAATTTCTAACCTGTCTGTGACTTCTTATGGGTGGATGAGCAAAGAAAAAATTTGTAATTTTAAAAACTGAGGTGCACAACTTTTGCTAACTTTGCTTATAGTTGAAAAATTTATGATTGTTGGAATGTAAACTACCTCCCAAACAACAACCAGAGCCTGACATGTAAACAGTGAATTATACATAATTACATATGCATCATATCCTACATGCAGTTTTGAGTGTTATTGAAGGCATAGCATGGACTCAAGGTATAAGGTTTCTCTCACAAATGAGAAAGTAAGATCAGTGCAGTGATACTGAAGTTATCTAAAGTATCATGCAAGGGACAGTTTTCTGTTAGTTGTAGCGGCAAAAATAAACAAACAAACAAACAAAAACAAGAAAAAAACTTTCAGGTATCTACTCCTTGCATTAGACACTAGATAGTAAAAAAAACACACCAGCTCCAAATACTTCAGTAGTCACATTTCCATCCTACAGAAGGTATATTTGTATTTGCCTATGGGTTCAGCAAGTTAAAATATAAAGTTTCCAGTTCTTACTGTCAAAGAACTGTGAAGATAGATAATAGTAGTATTTTAATTCAATGATAAAAATGTAACAACTACTCGATTTTTATTATTTGCATTTGGTTTTGGCATCTTGCTAGAACAGTGAAAGTGGCTTGTGCTTTGGTGATGAGGACAATGCCTGGCTTCAAACTCTCCAATGTGACATTTGAACTTCTATTTTTAAGATTTTAATTTTCTTTAACTGTATAGAAATATTTTACGGTGATAATGTTTGGGTAAATTTGCATATGTTCTCTATTTCACATCTAAACAAAGTGATATAAGTTGTACTTTTTTCTAACCTTGCTTTTCATATTACTGTAGTAATTTTTTAATGCATGCTGTTACAGGTTTGAAAAGAGAAGCTGGAATTTTTCCCCAGTATCAATTACTGGTTAGTGTGCACCTACAATGAAAGGGCACTCCCCCCCTCCCTTTTTCTGGTGTGGGAGGAGGCAGGGAATAACATCAATGTTATGTTGAAACTTTTATAAAACACTGAAGGACAAGTAAAAGGAAAACACAAACTTACAAATGCAGCTGATTTTCACATATTATATAGTAATCCCCTTGCTCTCAAATAGACTTGCTGAGTAGTTGATTTCAATGACAAAACAGCATAACAAAAACATTGAATGACATTAACGTGTGAATTTACATTTGGTTGTTTGGAGTTTGTTGTGGTGGTTTTTTTTTTCAATGCATGTGTTATTACTAGAAGTCTTTCCAGGTAGGAGGAGATTCCTGGTGCAAGGAGGAATTTTTTCAGTATATATTTCCATATGCGTAAATAACTATTATAGGAGAGATAATTTCTCTTACATACTGCTACAACTAAGGCAAAACTTAATACTTCATCATTTTGCCAAATACCTACAAACCAGACAACAAGCATATTTAGACATCCCTAAGATGCAAGTCTGTTTCTATGAAAATTGTGTAAGTATTTCCAAAATATCCGAGTCTCACTTTCTGTCAGAAAATCTCATATTGATGGAGCTTCCAGGAATCAAAAGTCCATGGGTTTTGGCATGAACTGGTTCAGTTTTTGGAGAAATTTTGATCTCAAAATTCTGAAGTAACTGTGAAGATAAACAGGATAAGTATTAGAAAAGCTGAAAAATTACAGATGAGGATTAGCCTTTGAAAAAGAAGACATAACAGACTGTCACAAAAAAAAAATTGTGTTACCATTTCTGCAAAGTTGAAGTGTTATGATTCCCATGCAGAAAAGAGAAAATAGGTGTTACAAGGTAAAGATTATAGTTCAAAATCTTCCTCCTAATTGCAGGAAGACTAGTCCAGTTTTTTTGGAGGAACTTCCACGTAACTACATTAAAAAGTCTGAGCTATCAAAGAAACTAAGGTCTTTTTCAAACCTTGTGAGCTTCATCTCTGTGTATTTCAGATTTCACTTCCTTTAATATCAATCACTATGTGCAATTATAAAGAAAGCAATAAGAGTCCCAGTCCCATCAGACACATTTCTCTTCCTGGGCAGACGGAAACAAACCAAAAATGACAAAAAAACTGTCCAGTGCACCAAGTGAAACAATCATAAATGAAGGAGTCAAATATTAGAACCTCTCCTGAACAGAGTCACTATAATTTCATCACACAATTTTTCTATGCATTAAACCTCTCAATGAAACTGTGATAATCACTTGCAAACATAAATTATTGTGCTTGTTTAGGCTAGGACAGAGCTAATTTTCTTCACAGCCGCTGGTATGGGGCTGTACTTTGAATCTGTGCTGAACACAGGGGTGATAATATAGACATGTTTCTGTTATTGCTGAGCAGGGCTTACACAGAACCAAGGCCTTTTCTGCTTTTCCTACTGCCACACTGGCGAGGAAGCTGGGGATGCATGGGAAGCTGGGAGGAGATACATCCAGGTGACCCCTATTGACCAAAGGGATATGACCAAACCATATGACATCGTGCTCAGTATTTAAAGTGGAGGAAAGAAGGAGGAAGGAGGAGTGTTTGGAGCGATGGTGTTTGTCCTTCCAAGTAACCATTACATGTGATAGGGCCCTGCTCTCCTGGAGGTGGCTGAACACCTGCCTGCCCATGGGAAACAGTGAATTAATTCCTTGTTTTCCTTTACTTGTGTGAGCAGCTTTTGCTTTCCCTATTAACCTGTCTTTACCTCAACTCATGAGTTTTCCAGCTTTTACACATCCTATTCTCTCCCTGATCACACTGGTAGAAGAGTGAGTGAGCTGCTGTGGGGGCTTGGTTTTTGCCTGGGATTAAACCATGGCAATCATAGAAATCATGGGCTAAAACAAACTTCAAGAGATTTATCTCACCCATTTTGAAGTTGAACAAAGACTACATCAGCTATCTATTTTTAAACTTTCAGGAGGGAAATACCACAACTTCCTCAGCTTTTCCTAATATGAAATCTCAAACATTTTTTCCAATAAACTAAGTAATCTTCTCTTATCCTTTTCTTAAAAAGCATGATGAACAATGCATTATTTTCCTATTCATAACTTCCTTTTCAGTTTTACATGTTTGAGGAAGTTTTCATCCAATTCTTTTTCAAAGCCTTCTTTGTTGTTATTCTCTTTCTTTCAAATTTCCTCAAATTTGACTAAATTGTCCTTAAAATGCAGCACACAGGGTCAGTTGCATATCATTGCATGGCTGAGGATTCATCAGTGTTCTGTAAGACTGAGTAATTTAGCTCCTCTTTCTGACACACAACATGCTCACTAATGCTGTTAATATGCCCTAGAATCACACTGCCTTATCAGAATTAGCATTATTGTTGATCAGATTTTTACTATGTCCCTCCAGTCTGTTTCTATGGTACTAATTACCCAGACAGTTGGTCAGAAATTTGTATTTATGCATTTATTTCTTCTCAAGAGCAGTAACTTGCAACTTTCCCTAGTGAACAATTTACTTTTGCTTCTGGAACATTTCTCATTTTCTTCATAATTTTATATTCATATCCTGATTTTAACTTAATTCACATCTGCTTGGTATCCCACGGAAACTCTAAAACTATTCTCTAATCCATCATTTACACTGTTAATGAAAATACCAACCTAAATCAAATGCAGAACAGACTTTTATAGAATTTTAATTAAATGCTTTTCCAGTTCAACAGCAAATATTTGATAGCTACTGCCTCCAGCTATTTCCTTTTTCCAACTAGCTGTGCATATATTTTATAGGTACTTCCATCTGGAACAAATTTTATTAATCTAAGTGAGAGAACAACGTATAGGATGTTTGAAAATACTTCCTGATGTCAGAGTACATGACTTACTTTATACCCTCTACATTAGGTAAGTAATCAAGTCAAAGAAAGAAATCAGACTGGTCTGAAACAATTTCTCCTTGATGACCTCCATGCTTTGTGTGTTTCTAATTTTAAATCTCATACATATCATCTCAGTGTTTGTAAATAGGTTGTGCGCTATTTTGGACTAGTTTCTTTCCAGAAAACAAAAGCAGGTTCTCCATTTCTTCCTTGAGCCTCCTTTTCTAAAAGATGCAAGTATGTTTGTTTTATCTAGCCCCCTGAGAGCTATCTCACTCCCGATTCTGAAAGACAGGTGCTAATTGTTTCAGACATTGTTCCAGGAGTTTACGTAAGGAAATACAAAGGCAAATTCAATCAAACTTTGCCATGAACACTTACGAAGGGTATAAGTATTTTTATCCTTAAGTAACTATAAATACTTTTCAAATCTTTGAGTTTTAATTGCACGATCTGACCTCATTATTTGAGCTAAAGGACATCTTGTAAATGACAAATAATGACAAATAAAGAAAGCTGTTGGGAATGTTTTTGTTATGAGACGAACCAATTGAAAACAGTACATACCAATAGGTACTAACTACTTATATAACTATAAATTGTGTATATGTAAATGATAATAAATTTAGAAGAAAGAACAAGAAGAGAAAAAAAGCCGCTGAAAATAGAAGAATTCTACTGTTTGTTGTAACACTGGGATCAGTACAAGGATATAAAATCTATTTTACATCTCTGTAAGTACTGAATTCTTCTAAGATACTGAAACTGAGCAGGTAGGCATTCTAATAGACATTAAGAAAGGCTTACAATGCACTTACAAAAACCTTCTGTCCCAAATCCATGTTTCCTTAACAATCTTACCTTTAGTTTTACTTCATGTGCACTAAATTTTTTTTCCCTTCTTCTGTGTAGTTTAACAGTTATGCTACATTTCAAACGTGATTGTTTTCAGTTTTTTAAGCCTTTGCAGTGTAAGTTCATTAGACAATACTCCACAACAAAGTTTTTGAGCACTCTAACACACCCAGAAATTATATACGCAGAAAAAAAAAATCATATCAATTTATTTTTCTTCCTGTAATGCTGTCATATAGTTCTAACCTGAATCAGTGCAAGATGAATTTCCAGCTCTGCAATTCTTTTCCCTATACAGCTCCGAATGCCATAGCCAAAGGGGATGGAACCAAAGTTGTCTACTCTGTCCAGGTTATCTTTCCTCAGCCAGCGCTGGGGTCGGAACTCATTCGCCATTGAGAAATATTCTTCGCTGTATGAAGTAGTGTAATGACAAAGTGCCAGCTGCGTCTGAGGAAACAAATTATACTCACATTTAGCTAACTTCCATATGCATAACAAAATTAAAATGCAATTACTCTAATTTCTGCAATATGAGGTGATAAAAATTAAGTATCGCTGAGTAATTCTAGAAGAAAAAAGGATATCTAGAAAAATCAAATCCCTTTCTCAACTCATCAAATGAAATAATCTTCAGATTGTTTTGAATGTTGCTGGGTATATTAAAGAAGATGAAGTGGGGAAGGAGATGTGAACAAAAGTCACAAGTACCAGGAATTGTTTCACAAAGCTGGTGTAAGAGAAAGGGAGGAGAGATCTGAGGCAATGGAAAAGGAAAAAAGAGAGGATAGGAATCAAAAAAACCCACAGCATTCCATGGAGGGGGGAAACCCGAAAACCCGGCGATAATTGATGTTATGATGTTTCCGATTATATCCAGGGAGGGAAGCAGGGGGAAGATGTGCATGGAATAATATTTAAATAAATATATTACCAATAAGGAATCCTGACTCTTTCAAGGGTACATTGTTATAACACAGGATTGCTGTCATTTAAAATCAAACCATACAATTCTACCCTGACCTCTGTGTAATATTTGAATAGTATAAAGGAAAGACTGATAATTTAAAAAGGAAATTAAACTCTTTCTACAAGAAGAGTTAACAGGCAAAGAATTAGAAAACTGCAAGGATAATAAAATTCATGCTTTTAAAATTGAATTGTAGCAGTACACAGATGTTTTCAATAGGCTCCACACTCAAGAACATTAAGAACAAGTCATGATAATAAGTTTGATTAGTTGGTGAGCACCCATTAGTTGGTGAGCATACCATTCATGGCATATAAATGGGTGTTATTGAAATACTTTCCTCTCAGTGTTCTAGCTTGGTGAAATCCTTTAAAAATCAATAGAGTGTGTATACGTTGTAGCAGATCACATTTCATACAGAAAATTAAACTGTGCTCTTTGCTGAAGACTGCAAAAAAACCGTACCCCTTTAGGTATAAAGTATCCTCCAATGATCAAGTCTTTTTGGGTCACTCTTCCATTTCCTGGCAATACTGGATATAACCTAGAGAGAAACACTCATCAGAAGTTCAGTAGTAATGACTAATGCAGTTTAGATTCCAATTTGCATTCACAGATCCATGATATGAATGCCGTATTCATTCACAGCAAAAAGGTTCTTCAGAAGTACAGAACACCTTGGGGATTCAAAGACCTTGAATCATCTGTGACAATATGATCATTACCTGAGAAAAGTTATTTACTAGTAACAGGAAGTTGAGATATTTGGTCCATATATTTATTTGTTTTATACACATACAAGCATGCAATTAGTTGGTCTAGAGGGATATATTACAGCACTACTTCTAAAAGCTGAAAGGCCTTGTTGATGCCTTCTCTAAAATTCTCTTATTCCCTTCACCTCACAAAGAACATTTATTATAAATATATTTTCAAAAGTATGTCACATGCCTTTAATTTAAATCAAGAAGCTTAAAATCATTGAAGTGACACTGCAAACTACCAGTGCTGGGGAGGAGGTTGTTACACTTCATCCTACAAACTAAGGGCAAAAATCAAGCTTTCAATTACTTACGTTAACAGACATGTCTCACATATGTGATACCACTTCTACCCTACTCACAAAGATTAAACATTATATAATCTATCATATTGATCACTTAAGCATTCTTGGACACAATACTGCTACAATAAATAAAAGTAGAAGCAACAAATAGCAGTAACAAAAATTGAATACAAACTTATGTACATAGCATGGACTCAAAATCCATTAGAAAGAAATTATATTAAATTTTTCAATTTATTATTACAGTTGTCTGCTACTTACCGCAATGTTTCTTTCAGCACAGCTCTAATCCAAGGCAATTTCTGGACATCGTGAGCAACAGGAATTTGATCTTTGCCCAGCTTGCTGACTATTTCCTCATAAACACATTGCTGAACATCAGGGTGCTTTGCCAACAAGTATGTTGCCCAGGACAAAGTAAAAGAAGTCTAAGGAAGAAACCACAATCATCATCATCATCAAGCACAACAAAATTAGATATAAAATAACCTCAAGCCAAGTAAAACAATCAGTTTTCAACTACATGTTTTATACTTTTAAAGTTGTATAACAGACTCATAATGATTCATATCTGGATTCAGTGAGATGTTGTAAGACTTCACCATCCCCTCCTTCATCCCTTTTCCATCTAAAAGTCCCCCATATGCCAAAACAATCCATGCTGATATTTTCCCAGTGAAATATAAAAAGCAATAGACAAACCAAATGCAAATGCAACTATGTAAACAATCTTGAAACAAACATTCTAAATAGCAATGAATTAAGTTAACTCTTAGTTTTCAATATGTGTTTTACCTTTCTCCCAACAAAAACACTTCACAGGAACCAAGATAAGAGAATGCTACTATTTATTTAGTGTTAAAATCCTTCTTTAGCCCAGGACATGGTTGGCTTTCTGGGCTGTAAGCACACATTGCCAGGTCATGTTGAGCTTCTCATACACCAACACGCCCAAGTCCTTCTTGTCAGGGCTGCTCTCAATCCATTCTCCACCCAGCCTGAAATTGAGCTCAGGACTTCCCTGGCTCAAGTGCAGGACCTTGCACTTGGCCTTGCTGAACTTCATGAGGTTTGCACCATCCCACAACTGAAGCCTGTCCTGGGCGGCATCAAAATAGTACAACAAAGCTCAAGGTTATTAAACAATGTGTGGGTAAAAAGAGCAGCTTCCAGAAATGCCTTATTTTGGTCTTATGTTTAAGATCAATTTAGAATGCATATTGTCATCATGACGGTGACCTTTTATGTCTTGCCTTCAGACTAGGGTAAAATGTTAGAAGTTCCCAGCTCCTTCATAACCTCTTAAAAATTAGCACTATTTCAGAGGCAGCCAATATGCTTTGTACTCAAAAACTGCCTTATAATTTTGTCAAAAGTTTCTATAATCCTCTAAACCTCTTTTGGTTTTTTTGATAACGTGAGATCTGAATTGACAGCAGAAGGAGAAAGAATGATTCCCTCAATTTTTGCTTTGTACTTGGAAATGAGGAAATTAGAAGTACTGTTCTCTCACAAAGAGACTAGAGATGAGAAAGCTGAGTCAAATGAAAAGAGAAATTCTTGTTGGCATGAACTTGAGCACTGTACTTTTAGTTTAAATAAAACTCTGTTGCACACTAAAAAAAGGAAAATTAATAGTCTGAAAGATCAGAAAATGAATGGGATTAATGACTGTACTTTACTTGGGAATCAAACATAAAAAAATTCTGCAAACTCATAAGCCCTTTGGATATTTAACCAATGGAATAATATTCAGCATATAAAGAAGTTTTACATATGCTCCTTATTTTGGAATTCAGAAGTGATTAGTTTTGGGAGTTTTGTTTTCTTTAGAAACCTTACAAACTTTCTTAAATCAAAAAAACCTGAATTCAATTATCCAAGTTTGAGTTTTTTCCTAAAGGCTATTTTACTTTTTTACTTTTCTTCTACAAGACTATTAAACACAGTCCTACATAGCAATTTCTTCATCCAACTAATATAATTCCTTTTAAAAAATTGTTCAGTTACAATAATTGACAATGACAGTATTCACTGATATTCTAAACAACTCTATACACTGTGTATACAATAACTCATTTTTATCTTTCCTGAGTTTTCTAATTGTCCTGCTGCAATCAATACTAAGCTCCACTGATGGGTTCCCGTAAACCACAGCTGACTCCATTCCAGTAGAGAGATTACACAGTGCAGTATTTTGTATTAAAGATGCTGTGACTTAAACATGTTAAATTATGTCCTTATAAACAATGTAACCCCTCTGAAGATAGCTGCAAATTATACTGGTTTACAAAAACAACTATGCACAAGGAAAAAGGTAACAAGCTTACTGTGTCCACTCCTGCCAGAAGCATTTCAGTCATATTGGCATAGATCTCTTCCAAAGTAAGTTCCTTACTCACTAGGAGGTATGTAAGTAGCCCACCATTCACTAGTTTTCCTTGGTCCAGCTGAGACTGAATGGCCTTCAATTTGTTGTTAACATGGATTTGACCTTTGGGATTCAAAAAAATTGTTAAGCCTCCATTTTTATTTTTCTGCTGGTTCCATTCAATAATGACATTTGTTCCTCATGCTGCACTACACTACACAGCCAGAAGAAAAACAAACAAACAAACAAACAAACAAACAATCTCCTTTCTCAAGATAAAAATAACAGAGAGGTGGTGGAGGTCCTTGGGTACTCGTGGTAAGGAAAGACTGAGCGGACAGGAAGCTTCCGAGCTCACAGCACGAGGACACAAGACTCTGCAGTTCCTAACAGGGAGCAAAGGAAGCTCAAGATCAAGTTTTATGCCCACCTGATTTGTTTTCTGATGACTCTGCAAGGAGTGGTGAATTCTGCAGAGCCTGCTGCAATTTGGCACAGAGGCTGCTACAGGACATTAAGAGCAACCAGAATGTTGGTGCCACAGAATTTAATTACTCTGAAGACAAAGATGGGGCCCATCAAATAATAACAAAAATTGAAAAGCTTCAGGGGATGACACGCTGAGCAATTTTTCCCACAGTCCCATTTTTACTTTAGAAACTACAAACATGTTTGTCAGTCCAACCAGGGAAGAATCCTCAGAAAGTTAATGGCACATAGAATGAAATAACAAAAAAATGAAAAAGCATGCAGCTTTCTAATATTCAGGGGGTTTTGACACTCTATAATATTAAAAAAAAAAAAAAAAAGTGCAAAGAAAACTCCTTCTTCTTACTTACATTAATGTACATGAAAGCTGATTCATAAAGTAGCCTGGAATGTTTTATTTACAAAAAAAAAAAAAAAAAAAAAAAAAAAAAAAAAAAAAAAAAAAAAAAAAAAAAAAAAAAAAAAAAAAAAAAAAACAAACCAAAACCATATTTTAGTACAGCAGTGTACTTCTATGTTACCTCTTTGCTTCTATGTATGTAAATAAACTTCACAAAGAGTTTAATTCATTGCTAGAGCCCAACCTTTTAGCTTTCTAGTCTGTTTTAGTGGTGATTATTTGTTGGAGTGTCTACCTATAATTTTGCTGAAGTCAACAAAACTATCCTCATTAAAATTGGAGTGACTTAAGATAAAACCTTGGCAAAGAACTTGGACCTGAAGCAATGACTGGGTGTTGAAGCAGATGAGGACAAGTAACAAAACAACAATATAAAATAAGGAAGTATTTGAAGTGTACTGGTAAAATTATTTTTGATGGAATATTTTTTAAAATAGTTCCCAGGCCAGTCTGCATTTGATGTGAAACTTACTTCTGCCACAATGTCTTCTTATAATTTTAGAAGAGAAATGCGTCTTGTCCCATTCAAATACACACAGAACCTTCAGAAATACAGCTGAACTTTTCTACTACTAGATCTTACTAAATTTGAAGAGTCCATCCCAGGATCTGCAGAACTCTCTCCAGGGTTTTGGAATAAGAGGACGAAGCCACTTGGGCATAGCACCTGCATACATAGTGATCTTAAACATATTAAACATCAACTCCAGAGCCTCAATATATTCAACAGTCTGCTGTGGGATGTTGTTTTCTAGGCAGCCCAGACGGCATTCATACAGAATAGTCGCCACACCTGCACATACAAAACCAAAGAATTGACTATACACGTGCATAAACATATATTAATAACTTAAGGAATTATAATACTAACACGATGGAACCACCTTACAAGAAACGTTTAGTTATTATTACTACAGTTGGGGAACAGATAAAACAGATATTCAAAAGACAGTAAAAAATCCCTGCTAGACATTGTAGCAGACAGTAGTTGCTATGTCAATAATGCTCTGCATGAGAAGACAGACATGAATTCCACCAGAAGTAGAGAAACCCTCCAGCACGCTCACTGTGTTTGCATTGCACTAGAAATCCAGAGTCTGCCGCGTTGGCCTCTGAATCCACAAGGACATGCAAATCCAAAGACAGTTCTGATAACTGGTGACAACGCAGGAGTTTCTACCCGTGGCTGTGTCTGTCATCAGCTGGAAGTAAATGAATACTGAATATGCATAAGTGGATAAAGAGCTTGCACTCCAGACAGTGCTCTTAATGCACACAATGTACTCCACCCAGCCCTGAAAAACAGCAAGTGTGTGACCCTGCTACAAGTGACACCACTGACTATCTCTTATTCTGATGGGATGTAATTTCCTCTGATTTTTTCCTGCTCCACTAGAAATACCACCACCACCACCACCCCAACCCCTACCATCAAAGAGCAGTACTTTATATATTTTTTTTATTAAATTATTATTCTTCTGAACTCTGGACAATTTCTTCAATTTATCAAGTTAATTCTTACCCATCCGTTAGTGTCCCTGCAGTCTCTCAGCTCAGTTTTTGTAAACACACCCAAATAATTAAATACTAGACAGAACTAACAGCAACTGCCCTACTGGAGTTAGGCAAAATGTTCTCTCAGTTTGATAGCAAGCCATTTCTTAATCACTTCCTGAACACAGGTTTCTAGCAATTTTTCCTCTCAACTTGTGAAATCTAGATCATAGCACACAGTTTATTGGTGAAAATATTGCATAGAATGGTATAAAAAGTATTCCTGTTATCAAAATACTCATTTAATAGTTTTTCTGAAAGCTAGTAGGGATGCTCAGTAATTTAAAAAGGAAATAAGATAATTTCTCAAAGCCATTTTCATAAAATAAAATGTTTTAAAATAAATTCTGTGCTTTTAATTTTGTTAGTTAATAGTTTGTTCACGTATTTCCAAGAAATATTATAGCTTAACTAAATAATTAGAGTAACTGCTCTAGATACTCCAATCTCTTTTTCTCTGTTTTTCCTGTTAAAAACAATAGAGAACAACATTTAACTTTGATCTTACATACTGGTTTCCTGAACAAAGTTACAGTCTAAGTTAATTAAAACTGCAATTTGAACTGGAAATAAGTGCATGCCAGGCACAAGTCATAAATGAAAAGCTAAAAAAATGTGAAGAATTTAAGCTAACCCATCAGTTAAAGTGAATCAGTAGGCTTAGATTTTAAAATTCCATAAAACTGGTAACTCTTAGTTTAATGCCAATTTCAGACACAACTAATGTGAAACAGACCAAACAGGCAACCAGCAATTTGATACAGTATCTTCATAAGTGAGCATTTTGGAAGTTCTTCAAATCCCAAATTATTCAGCTGGCTGTCAGAAAAGAGTCCCCAATTTTTTTAAAGGCATTACATATAACAAGATTGGGTTATATGCAGTCAGTTCAAGAAATGCATGAAATATGAATCACCACTAGATTTCTGTAAGAACACAGGAAATGCCATGCTGGCTCAGGCCAGAGTTTCATTTAGCATTCCCTCATTAATGGTAGCCAGTGGTAGATGATTTTAAAGCAAACATAACAGTCCCACACTTGGCACATGTAGGCAGGGAAAAGCAGTATCCACAGCAGTATTCCACACTGAGCTATGAACTGAATACAGGCCTTGATTGAACACTTTACCTACAGACCATCATTTCCATGGGAATTGTTCCTTAATATAAGGTATCATTTCTTTGGACTCTACAAAGGAATTCTTCTGATACCTACTGCACTAACTAAGAAGAGACACAAAGGCAGAATATCAAGCTTCCCTTTTCAGATCAATCACAATGAGACACTAGTCATTTGACAGAAATGCCTAACCATAAACACACTTCTTTACATCCATTTTCTTTACAGATGTGATCCAGCCCAGGCTTACCTTCCATCGCGTACTTGAAGAAAAGTTTGTTAACATTGGTTATTGTTTCCCCATCCTCCTCTTGACTTCTGAGGGTGTGGATTCTTTTAATTAAGTCTTTGATAACTTCATTGACTCCTTCAGAGTAAAAAGCCACATCTTCGGGTTTCAGAATTTTTTGCCTCAGGACACTTCTCATTTTTAGCCATTGCTCCCCCTCCCTAGAAGAAATTATTAATAGTATCTATACACAATTTTCCTTAACAATCATCAGCTGGGTAAAAGCTCTGCAATGAAACTTTGTGATTTTTCATTTCAAATGAAAGCAACTGGTAAAATGAAAATTATAATAATGCGTATTTGGTATTATGTTCTTATATTTTTATCCTGCATTTATTGCACATCCTCATTAATTTTCAGTGTTGCAACATATATGTGCAGGTGTAAGTCAGTATCTGATTTGGGTGACAGTTGGTACCATAAATTCCATTACTGATACATCACTTTCAGTTACCCTCATTCTAAACCTACAAAGTAACAGGGCAGCAGACCTACCTGTAGACAAACAACTTACAGCTAGATTCTTCTTTAGCTGAGTTATGCATGGAAACCTTTGGGCTCAAGACTAAAAATCTGCATGATGCTCTGTATGAGCAGAGTATTTGGGAACAGTGATGCCTTTCAATTCCTCATGAAAATAGGCAACTGTCTTTTATGAGTTTATTTTGAATTGTTGTGTATTTCCCTTCTTTTTTTTCACCTGGAGCAATGCTGCTGCAAGGCACAGAAACTTACTGACCAGCAAAATAATTTAATCTCTTTAACAGATATTTTCTGACTATCTCATGATGTAAGGTATGATTTCACTAAGTGCCAAGGAACAGTTAGCTTGAGTGGGAACTGCAGCTAAAGATTTGAGCCCGTGGTGCAATACATAAAGCCTTTTGCTACCATGAAAGAAACAGATTGTCCATGACTCAGGGAATTAGTTTCCCTCTAAATAAACATACTGTGTCAGGGGGACTGTGAATAGTTCCCAGTGGCAATTAACTACACCCACATGCAGTGCCACGTTATGCAAGCTTTAAAGACATAACTCCTCTAGATTTAGCTGCGTGCAAAAATATCGGCACAGAGATGCACTTCAAGGTGAATTGACCATACTGTGCCTTCTCTGCAATTATCTACTGAGGGTACACTTTGGTGGATAATAAAACTAAAACTAATCTGAGCAAACCAAGTCCACACAACACACTGCCAACCAGATGCAACAGTCTAGATCTGAAGCAATAAACCCACATTTGTGCAGAGCAGAGCCTAAGTTAGTAAGCCCTGTTCTGCAAAACTGCTTGCAGGTGAATCAGTTCAGACAACTCTATCTGAAACATATTCCCAAAGAAAGTCTTAGGCAGGGTAGCTCCCTTCACATTCAAATTAACCATCATTACCATCACAAAACAGAGAAATTCACAGCATCCACCCCAAATTCCTGCTCTCTTTCCGCCACTAACCGTGCAGTTTTCCACACACAGAAGAGCCAGATTATCCAGATGATCTGTACAGTCCTTCAGAAAATGAGCAAACTTTTACAAGAAAACAAAGAACATGAAGGAGTAACAATACTTACGCAGAAATAAGCCCTGTGGCTCTCCCTCGTAAATCCCTGTACTCCTGCCAGGATTCCATGTTAGCTCTTTGTGGTGCTCTACCTTCTGCTCGCAGGACTTGAGCAACCATGTCTCGATCTGCAATGGATACAACGAACTGGGGACCAAAGTGAGACTTGAAGATCTTTCCGTATTCTTGAGTGTGTTTTTGCTGCAATATCACCAACAAAGAGAAAGAGAAGTCAAGTATTACTAAGGAAAACTGTCACAAAAGGAAACTGAGAATTTGTCATACAGTGAATCAATCTCTCACTTTTAGAATTTGATTCTCGGCCTTTCAGTCAAGGAACAGTTTGAAGTGTCAGAAGAAAGAATCTAAGCATTACTGTGAAATATTCACAAGGAAAACAGAGAGGTCACACTGTTCGGGACCTCTGAATAGACAAAAAGCCTTAAAGCACAAAGTGTGAGTGAAACCAAATACTGAGAAGATGAAAGGACTTGGGGCATTTAAAACCACATCCCTTCAGGTCAAAAAGGTTAGAAAGAATGTCTGCAAAAATGAAAAACATGTGGGCACATAGGGTTAAATTAATGTCTTTTGTAAATAAATACTTGCTCTATCATTTTACGCTCATAAAAAAACCCCTACGTGTAAGTTTCTCACACCTAAATGAGGACAATGACAGCCTAGTGAAGAACTGCATTTTGGGGCAGCTTTGTCAGAACAAACTAGAGAAAAACTTACAGCAATTCTGCAAAAGAAAGGAAAACGTAAGGTCTTATTCCTGCAGTGAGGTTTATTGATCCACAAATCATATGATTCAAGTAACAGGCAATTAATAAAGAGGATAGGAAAACATTAAATTATGTGTATATATATAAAAAAAAAGAAATCCAAAAAGCTTCCCAGTAAGATTGCACTATCACTGTCCCATGAAATCTTACTGATTATTTGAAATAAACTTCATTCTGACATGGTCATAAAGTGAAACACAATTTCCACAAATTCACTTGGAGTTTAGATACGTCATCATTTCAGAGGGGGAAAAAAAAACACCCCAAAACTGCAAAGCAGTTATTAAAAAGATATTAAGACTTCAAAATTAAATTTTAAAGTCTTTATTTCTGGTTAAAGTATTAGGACAAGTTAAACTAAACAAAGTTTATGCCAAAGACATCTGCTCAGAGTTATGCTGATTATAAACCAAAGATGTTTGACACCAACTCCCCTTGTGAAAGTCTAGTGTTGGCCCAAGATTAACTTCTGTGAAATATTTTTTAATTCAGTCTTGATTACAGAGATGAATTACTTAATTGCCTACAATAAACTTAAGACTCATGAATCACTCTTCAGAATATGGTACCAAGTGCTTAAAAAAGATAAAACTTTTTCTGCCTAATTTCCAAATAAAACAAGATTTGTGCAATTGTGGTCTCTGCCAGTCACTTCTTTCGGAACACAATGGCCAACTTCAGTCTGGTTTAAACAGAGAGTTAAAGGTCTCCTACATCGATATTCTTACCCTTTTCAAAAATCAGCAGCTGGATTCAAACGAAACCCACATATTAATCATCCTGATGAGGGAAATGCTGCAGCGGAAACTCAGCTGTTGTCATTTCTGCTTGGTCTGCTCCTAACCAAACACCACAGGCAGAGGAATGTGTGAACAAGCACCCCCAACCCCCAAAGTATTTCTTGCCTTAAAGATATTTTAGGGATACTGAACTTGGGGATAACTGAGAGCATGCATCTCTTAAAGGAAAGCATAAACAGGGAGGCGAGTGATGCAAGGAAAAATCAGCAGAGTGAGGGAAATGCGGGTCACCAGTCATAGAAAAACAAGTTCAACAAATTTTGCTATTTACGAGCAGTTTGGTTTTTCCGCTGATGGTGAGGTTTACATGGGACAGTAAATTTCAACAGTAAATAAATCCAGTGTCAAGCTATCCAATCAAATAAATTAAATACTAGTTTTAAACCAGAAATAGGGACAAAGTATTTGGACATTTCTTACTTTCAACAGACTGAACTCTGTTCTATCAACTTTATGTATAATGAAATGCCCAGGATTTCTCTTTTGTATTTTCTTTCACAACATGGGTGTTTCTTTCCCTTGTTCTAAACCTTAAAAATATTACACTCTAGTGCCTCACATAGGAATCTCACACCAGTCATCCTTTCACACATCATAAATTAAAACTGCCAGCACCCAAATCCCTCTCTCCTCACCTTTCTTTTCTTTACACTTGCATAGCACTGATAAGACAAAAGAGATCTAACTCCATCAAATTAAAAATACTTTCCCTTTGTCATAATTGCTGTAGGCATTACTACTTTGGCCAGGACTAGCTGGAATCATGTTACTGAGAACAGAACCTCCTTTGTGAAAAGCACCCAGCCTCCCCACCCCTTCTGCATGTAGGGCAAAAATATTTGTGTGCACCAAAGGACATCTTCTAAGTAGCTGTGCTGGTTAGCAAAGGATTTCGGATTAATTCATTCCTGATGTTCACTGTATTGTTAAACTTAACAGACTGTTATTAATCCAGTTAATGCCTATTTGCATGCTGCATGTATGCAAACAGGGTATCCTGTGATTTTTGAGACTTTAAACAGAATAAAACTAGTATTATATTGCAACTTATCCTTATAATTCCTCTCACTTTCCTTTCTGTGAATAATATTCTTTAAAGAAAATAGACATATCAGCTAGTGGTAGTGAAAAGCGTATACTATTTAAGTTGTTTTGCATTCCTTTTTATATTTTGGACAATTTTCACTGTTTTGGCAATGAAAGAACTTGAAACCAATGGTAGCATCTTTTTTAGTGTTACGACATCATGGTGAGTGCTCCTCAAATTCTGTACACCACCGCAGAAGTAGAGAAAAAAAAAAAAAAAAAAGAAATAGAATGAAACAAAAGCTTTAGATGTCCTGAGGTTTCATCTGCATGCATCCTGGTTAGCAAGTACTCAAGCTGAGCAATTTTCTGTTTCATTCCTCCTTCTGGTGCTTTCAGGCCCTTTGTAAATCTTAACTTTACAGTTTTGATTCTCAAACCATTTAAAGTTCTTTTTTCTTTTGTTTTCCTCTTCTGTTTTTATTTCCCTTTCTTTCTTTTTGTTTTGTTTTGTTTGTTTGTTTGCTTTTATGTGGGGTTTTGGGGGTTTTTTCTTGAATTTCAGCAATTTTCAGGCAGTGAACCTCTTGCAGCTGACTCTGAATCTCTTTCTGGTAATTTGGGAAAGCAAAGAAAAGCAAACTAAGCAAAATTAAGAAAAGCAAAATAATAAGTGCCACATCTGAGGTATTCCCAGAGAAGTCTGTACTGCCAGTGGAAAGCATTATGGATCCACAGCTGCAAAAGAGTGAAAACCACAGCTTTACTCTTTCACACGCAAGTGTTTCCTTTAGAATCGCTTGGACTACGTGGGGAAAGGGCCCCAGGAGCTGCACTGTGACTTTTTAGGAATGAAACTCACATGTTTGGCCAAGCAACCAAAAGAATTCATCTCTGGAGAGCTACAGTCTTACGGTAAGACTGTTGCCCATGTCAGCATCCCCGAGGCACTGCACAGGGGAATGGGGATCCTCGCCCACCCAACTCCCGCAGTACCCCGCAGAGGTGACGGCGCCTCACCCACCCTCACCAGGTGCCACCGGGGAAGGGGACGCCGTGATCTGTTTGACACCACAGCAGAGGAGCTGCCCAAACCAGGGGACGCTTCTCACCCCCACCCGGCTCTGGTTCGTTTGAGCGTCTCCCACCCTCCAGGCAACTGGAGCCGCTCTCCACCCTCCCTCCTTCTCTCCCCCACCGCCGCCAATCCGGCCCCGCTTCCCACTGCCCTCTCCCCTGCCCGGGGCCGGTGGAGGGAGCGGCATGGCGGGCAGTGCCAGCCGCCGACATTCCCGGCCCCGTCCCGCACCCCCGGGAGGTTTCAAACCGCCCGCCTCCTGCCGAAGGGACGGCAGCGGGGCCAGGAGCAACCACCGCCCCCTCAGGGGACCTGCATGGGCGAAATGTATTTATGTAATGGGAGGTTGGAATAGGAGACACAAAATGGTCTCTGAAATCAGCAGAGCAGCGCCGGGCCGGGCCGGGCCGGGCCGGGCCGGGCCCCCCTCGCAGCGCCTCAGCCGCGGCCGGACCCTCAGCGGCACAGCCGCACCGCACGGGCGGGCGCCGCCGTACGAAATTCCAGGGAAACTCACGCTTCCCAGCCCTGCCCGCCAAAAATAAGCCCTCTGCAAGTTAGTGCAACAGCCCTGTTCAACAAAAAAAATGCCTTTTTCTTTTTTTTTTTAATTATTTTTTCCTTTCAGCCCGAGGCACCGCCCCAGCAGTTCACAACGGGCGCCAAGATGCGCGGGCAGCGCCTCCAGCCCGGGGGATCCGGAGCGGGAGGCATCGGGGCATGGGGGGCCAGGGCAAAGCCAAAGCCTCCAGTGTTGTGGGAAGGGGATGGGGGATCCCCTGAATCCCAGCTCTCACCAGCGCGAAGGCGGAGCGGCGATGCCCAGCAGCGCTGCTGCCAACGCGGTGATTGACCTGGCGAGAAAAGTAAAGGTTTTAAGTAACCCGGGCGTGATTAAATCGTTAAATAGGCCAGTGAGCTGTACCTGGATTTCATGAATGCGGCCGAAGCCGTCCTTCCAGAAGAACTCGTAGAGGTTGTAGAGGGTGCTGGGTCCGGGCATTTCGTGCAGGCTCTTCACCCTGCCCAGGCGGTGCCGAGGGGGCTCCAGCAGCTCCGTTCCGCTCCCCTCACCTTTGTTCGCCACCTCTTCCCGCGGGCTGTTCCGCACAGCCAGGCTGCTGCACAGCTTGGGCAGCCCGGGAAACCTGCTGCTGGCAAAAAGCGCCCGCTGGAAGTACATCCTCTCTGATTCAATCGTCTGCTTGCATTTCATCGTCAAAACTCTGGTAGAGAAGGACATGGTCTTTCAATTTCAGAAGAGTCAACTTTGCTCCTGCAGCTGGTTTTTATTTGCTTGGTCTTTCTTCAGTGCCTGCTTTAACTTGTACAAGCAGCACTTCTCCAAACTCTTACTGCATGGGCATCAGTTTACATAGGCCATTAGTTAAGGCTCCCTCCCCTCGGGCTGGAAAGGGGGGGGTGGGTCTGGGATGAGACTTGAATAGAACGAACCTATTATTTTGTATAATTCAAACCAGATAAATTTATCCATTATACATGCAGCCCAAAGTTCGGTTTTTCCCTATTTCTCTGCTTAGTTTGGCAAAAAGCTCATCCCATCTTTCTCCTATATTAAGAAGGTGGGGTTAGGGCTGCTTTTCCCTGGGGCATTAATTCATCTCTGTATGTTAGAAAACAGGACATTTTCTGCAAGTTCTCTGAGAACTGTTCATCATCCCATAACGTATATGGAAAACATTTGTGTATCCACATATGAGTAGCAATGGTTTTACACAGTAACTTTTCAAACAGTTCCTGTAAACTACAGTATGCAGGGATGTTATTTGTGTTGCATAATCATTTATCTTTTGGATGTGATATACTCCATAAGCAGCTTGTGTCAACTTTGTAGGAGTCTGCACAGTTTCAGAAGGGTGTTGTTTTGTGTGTATTTCTGTGTAATTTCAAATGTGCTAGTGATAATCTGTAAAATGTTGATTTGTTTCAGAAATTACATAGGAGAGCCCATCTTATTTTTTAAATGAATCAGAAGCTCAGATAAAACTTGAGGGGAAAAAAGAGAGTTGCAAGTAAAATCCACACTTTCAGAACTTAGTTATGAATAAACTGCTGGAAAAGTTTTCCCCTCTTATTTATCTTCATTTATATTTTTGAGGCTGCAATCCAATTAGGATCTGTGTACACACTTACTCTTGCCACTAATAACTCCACTGAAATAAATAACTGAGGAGTTACTCAGGCGCATCAGTCTTTATAAATGCAACTGCAAATATTACAAGAATAAAAGGTAGATGGTAAAGTCTTAAAAGCTGTTAAAGTATATGCTAACAATGTCTTTGATATGGGTTTCATCATACTTGAAAGGGTCCAGAGAACAGCAACAGGAAAAAAAAAATAATTAGAAGGTTAAAAGATTATGTAAGCAGGAGGTTAAGAAACTTATTTCATCTGGAAAAGAGGAGTATCAGGACCATGACAATAGTGTACAGATTGCACATCTTTTGTTAAAAAAGGTGCATGTCAGGGAGACAAACAAAATAATGGGCTTAGTTCACAGCCACAGATTTCTGGTTACTTTTTCAGGCAGCCTCGGTACCTTAAATATTTTGGGATGTCTCACATAGATAGCCAAGGTATTGCAGGATGTTAATTGCTATCATAGAACTTCCTAAGAACTTCATAAGAACCTCTGTCAGGCAATTCTGGGTGTATCACAGTCTAGGTTACCTCTGAAGTTTTCCTTCTTACCTTTCTATGTGATGTAGCTACATTGTTTCTTTAATATTGGTCTAAGGATGCTTTCAGAGACACAGTTACACAGATTTTAAAATTATATTAATGTTGTAATTTCTATATTGATGGAGGGAATATACAAACTCTTCCTAAAAACTTCTGCTCGCAGTTATCAGTATGGTAGATTTTTTTTTTTAATTACTTACTATTTTGTCAAACACCATTAGGATAGTGTAAAGCATCTGCTTGTATTAATACGCCAGTGGGACAAACTTAGATACATCGTGTTGCAAAGGTTACAGTTTTGCAACTATTGTAGCTTTCTCTGGGTGTACCTTTTTCCAGTTATTCCCTATTTGGAGTTCTTCGTTATTGACTATTTTCCCATTGTTATCTCTTTTCCATCAAAATTATTGTAGGACAGAGTGTTTCTATCCAAGATACTTGAAAAAGTTGCAGAGGTTTTGTCCTATAAGTACTTCAGCAGAACAGTACCTGCTTCCCCCCTGAGGAATTTCTGGAGGTGGCAGTAGTTCCAGTTTAGGGACTGTGTTGTTTAACCCCACTGGCACTCAGTGTTCCAGGTGGTTTACTTATTGTTAGATTTCTGTTTGTTTGTGTGATCATGTGACTTGGAAGATAAATATTTCTCCTACTTCCACCAGCTTATACATTTATCAGATGTCTTAACACTGACCCGGAAACATATTCACAGTTTTTTAAATATAAACAATGACATTTGTCTCAGCCTGTTGGTCATTGGAGTCTGAAAATATTTTTTTATGTAACAAGTCAGTTGTGCCTTTTGTTATTTCAAACAAGTTGGAGCACATGCCCCTTCTCAGCAGATATGCTTCAATTTTAGTTAACTTTTGGTGTCTAACGGGATCACAGTATAAACTAAACTTGGCTATTCAGATTATATATTATTTTTGGATAATTTGTCTTCAAATCTGCAGTCATGCTGTTCTCTCAGTCTAGACCCCCTACTGGTCTGCTTAATTGTACTTTGTTACCTTCGTTTAATTATTTCTAAACCCAATTTAAACTTGCCCTCCTCTGTGCTTGAATTCTGACAAAGTTCATTTGAAGCTCTTTGTGTCAATAACATCGGTATTCAGAGTCAATGGCTACATTATCACCTTACAGGGAATTCTGGTGGTTTTTTTTAGAATTATTCTCACCTCTTAACAGTGTTGGCTATATCTGGCTTGTAATTATTTGAACATCATTTTATGATATCCAGTATAATAAATTTTGTACCGTTTTACATAACTGTTTAAATACCTACAAGTATAAATCATCTACAAATACAGTTTTTGGAAGTAAAAGAGATTTGATCAGAGGCATTTAGCTTTGCCAAGTAACATTCTCAGTCAAGACTATATAGACAGGCTCTTCAGAACATTTGTAAGGAAGAAAAGCTGAAGAAGGGCCAAAATGTTAGAAATTTAAGCAAAAATCTTCAGTGCGGTTTAAAACACCTCTTTACTAAAATAGCCACAGTTAGTCACAATTTTTGCCATTTCTGACTGTCCTCAAACCCATCTTCTGAAAGATCTTTTCAAGCTGTGAAGTTACTCCTTTGGAATTTTAAATGCTTTCTAAAATTCCCATGCTTTTTCCAGAAAAGGGGAAAAAATTTGAACTTAACATGTGAAATACCAACTGAATATGAAGATACTTAAATCAGAAAGAGCTAACAGTGCCAGGTGTTGATAGAACTTAACAAAAACCTCATGAACCAACTGTAAAGACTTCAGCCCTACTTGCAGACTTCTCATAGGTTTAGATCCTTGACCTGTGATTCCTATGGTGTATAACATTGAGTTATCCTGAGAACTTACCTTGAAGTCCAATGTTTTTGAACATACCAGAAAGAAGTATGGCACTGCTAAAAATGATGACCATCAGGAGTGTGTAAGGAGCCAGAGAGACACAAGCTGGGTGTAGTTTGGTCTTTGCTGAACTGTAGTGCTGCTGAAAACACCACCCTGTGGCCATTGTGCCCTTTTAGTCTAGAAGGTCATTTCGCTGAGTAACAGCAGCACCCTTCAAGCATTTATGCCTTCACATGGACGCACTTGGTGGTTTGCCACAAGGATGAACAGCACAGGTGCTACCTTGAGCAGCAGCAACTCATCTGCGGTGAGTAAATGCGTACCAGTCTGCCACTTGCAGCTTCAGTCTGGAGTAACAGCAGGCAGTAATTACTGCAGTTAATCATATCAAAGTAATTAATCCTAAAGTTTGAACACCAAGATGCTATCACTGATGCATGGAGTCATTCATACCTCATAAAATTACTGTGCTTTATTTGATGGTGAATGTACTGCATCCCATACAGACCCATTACTTAGAAGAATAAGATCATTAGTCATCATGGCCATGATTTACTACACAAGAACTAGAGTGCTGTCCTAAATCCAGCTAATACTAGTACTACAATTACAGAAATCAATATTAAACCATTTCCACATTTAGCAGGGTTTTTTCCAAGTGTATGAAGGGTGCAGAATAGTTCCAAAGCAATTAATAAAGTGTGTTAAGAAAGAATTATGCAGAGGGATGCTGGCTGACTTGCTCAGCTATCCCACTGTCACAGGCCCCTCCCATTACCCTAAATTATCATTTTGCTACTAACTGTTGCCACTAGAGCTGGTCCAAGCTACCATCAGAAGTAAATAATGTTTTTAACCGGGGAGAGGAAATCAGCACCACAATACTGCACACTCATCTCTTCCATATAAGCCACTCAAGCACTGACTGGTTCAATTTGAGGCAGAAGACTCAGCACAAGAGAAAGAACCATGTGTTACAGGGTAGGGCCCTGAGCCCAAATAGAGTTTAAACCAAAGCAATTCAGTTTCCCTTTTCAAAAGTACCTGATTCTCAGACTGACAATAAGCACCATTTGTTCTGAATTCTGCTTCCAGTATTTCTACACCCTCGATTTGTGAATTCATACCAATAAGAAACAGAATCAGTGTTTCTCTGAAGCACATTTTTCATATAACCAGGAAAGCTGTACCATATATGCTCCTTCCAGTATGGTAAATATTTATACTAACACCTATTTCGAACCAACACATCAAGATCAATGCTCTTTCATAGGTTGTTCCTAAAGCTCTACTATCAGCAAAAAAAAAAACCCACTTCATAATACAACACCAAGTAGTGTAGCTGTTACAGTATTAAGCAGATGTTATTTAAAAAGCATTCTTTAGCCACAACCACCCATTGTTTCTCCTCTAATTTTCTAGAATTATATTGCAGTCTTCATTAAAAGAAAACCCAAACTCAGGGTTTTTCCTTCACACATTCTTCCAAATGCCCTTGTTAGAAGTGGAAATGCTTTTTGATTCAGTAATAACTTCTGTGGTGACACTGCACTGTTTAGCAGCTACAATGGTTTTATTGCATGGTTAATAAATAGAAATGACAAGGGAAACAGCTTTTATTTTAGCAACTTCCCAACAGTAACAACAAAATGAGGAAAACAGAGCATAGACTTTACCTGTATTTACTAATGCTTTCCTTGAGTTTACTTTGGAAACAGAGTCTCTCTTTCTTGTCTTCAAACTTCAAAATATTTCTGACCAATTTGTTAGAATTTTAAGACAGGTTAAGTCATAAGTATAAATTAGCTCCCAGTTTAAAAACATAAAGTGCTCCTTCCAGGATTCGTTCAGCTCAATGAATGATTTTTATTTAAGCATTTAAAAAAACAGTATTTTGTTGAGTAAACACAATAATCAGATAAATAATATTTCAAACATCAGTACGAACTTCATTTACAAAACCTTTTCAGAATTCTTCTGAAAAAGGGTCTTCAGCCGATAAAAATAAAATCTATTAATTACCCTGAAAACCAGACAGGTATAACCAGGATCCAGTCCCTGGATAGTATTATTCCTGTGTTAAGATTTAGTTCCTTCTTTCCTTTCACATTCATCCACGAGAGCACATACACCGCTAAGTAAATATGTGGCTATACAGATGCATATAAAACAAGTCTTTTAAAGGGCCTATCAGACATTTCAATTCTGTCTTTTCATTTATGGAAGCAGGTCCATGGATCCGCAGCTTTAACAAAACGCACACGTGGAGAGCGTCACTTCCGGAAGCGTTTGAACAGCGGGTGGATGTGTTTATTTGTCGATGCCTTACTCCGTGAGGAGTGGTATTCCATGTAAACAGTGTCATCTGCCCCAGACATCGAGCTCATTGTGCCTGTTCGACGGGACACCTGCAGGTACAAGGAGAATAAGCACGTGCTGAGTGTGTGATCAAACAGATCAGCTCTAACCCTACTGACCCCCACTGGCTAATGGGCAGCACTGCCCACTGAGTGACCCCAATGCCAAAAAGCCTTCCAAGTTCTTCTCATGAACTAAAGTGGCCCTTATGCTTCTGCTCTCTGGGCATGAGGAAATGAGGGTTTGATTCAAGGATCACAGTGCCCCACAAAAAAAAGTATATGGTGTGACATATTTGTATCCTGAAGTTTTCAAAAATATTTTCATTGCAATTGACTTAGGAGATATACTTGCAGATCTGTACAACAGATGTGTCATCTTCTCCTTCAAATATGATGGAGGACATGAATTCCATATCTAATTTCTTCCTAGTGCTCAAAAAGTGAGTTATTCCAATAGCTAAATGCTAATGCAGCTTAAAAAATAAATCTGTTCTCTGATGTTTTGTCAATGACAAAATCACACGTAGAATTGGATGGAAATTAAACGGTCCAGTTCTGTCCCCCCTCTGGACATCCTTTTCAGAGAATTCATTACCTGAGCTGATTTTGAACCATATTCTCCAGCAACTACTTCCTCCTCAGCATCCAGGTCAGATGCTTGCAGGACTTTCTGGAGAAGCTGCTGCTGTTCTTCTTTGGTTGAAAATGAAAGTTCTTCTTCCTCCATGCCTGCCAGCTTTGTTATTACCTAAGAAACAGAGCACAGTGCAAGGTGAGGGCTCTTCCTCCTCACTGTTAGCTATTCAAAACCAAGACAAGGATTTCTGACTCCATATCCTGTTGGAACTGCCTTCGACTTTTATTAATGGTCTGAACAGCTCTACAGACAGCACAGATACACATAAAATCTTACTCAGTGGTGTACATACATATACATATAGCTGGAAATGATAAATACAAACCTTTGGGGGAAGAAAAAAGAAAATTAAAAAGAAAAGCTCTGGGCAAAGGATGTCAGCTAAACAAAGCACATATATTTCAGATGCATATTCAACTCACTGCAAAGTCAGCATCATGCTGTGGGCTCTAGATTTGGCTGGTTTAAGAACTAGTACTGTAACAAAAATAATCCACTAGCTTTGCAGAGACTGAAAATTTTAGCACTTAACACTCAGGAATATGGGGGGATAATCCCTAACAAATCGAGGTGTACAATCAGTTGCTGAGAGACAGTGCAGCAACCTGCAAGAGAGCATGAGCAGCAGAGCAAAAATGACTCCACCCTTTGAGTACTCAGACACCAAGTAATTTGGTTTGTTCTCCTCGAAATTCTTGTAACTCATAAGAAAACTGCAGGTGCGAGGCACGTGCCATCTACTGGCAATGCAGTGTCACAGACTCCATTAACTGACAAACCTTTTCTGAAAAACTGAAAAGCTCTCAACCTTCTGTTATAAAGCTTTACAATAGATAGCTTGCTTTCTTAACTAGAGCCATTTTGAAAATTTCACAGGAATTTTTCGTGCCTTTAAATGCATTCTGTAAACACATGTTTATACATAACAATCAGTTTTCCCGCTATTTCCAACCTCACAAGGTTTTGAACAAGACATTCTAATTCGCCATTGATTATCTAGTGTTTCCCCTTCTCATCTTTTCTGCTTACCTCTTGAGTCAATACAATCAGAAACTAATTACCTCAGCAGTCTGGGCTGGATCTGATCACAAAGACTGGTTAAAAAATATAAATACAGCTTAAGGTAAAAAAAATCCACATTAGTTGCAAAGTAATGTTTTTTTAAAAATGGGGTAGGGAAACACTAGAACAAACAATCAGTGCCATGGGCTGTTGTTAATGGCAGGCTCTAATTTGATGTCTTCCTGAGGAATGTCCAAGGTTTAAGAATACATTCATGAAAACAGTCTGTGCTCCCACATGGTTAAAGGAACACTATGGTCCTTCTTGTTTGTTTAGAAGGATATGTGCTATGATAATCTCAAAAACAAACCAAAAGGTGTCGAAAAATCAACTTTATATTGAATTAGTCTGTTTGCAGTTCTGACGCAAAACAGTGTTAACATGATTCATAGAATGGAAAGAATTCCCACTGCATCATTTTTTAAGCTGTCCAACAAATGCCACATTTAAAGTTATCCCCAATTCTTTGATATACAGAATTCTTCTGCTTTTGGTTTAAAATTTAGTATATCCTATATTCAGCCTCTAAATAAAAACACAATACAGTGAGTAATGAAACTGTTTAGCAGACAAAAAAACCCCACTGGCAGTCAACTTCAAGCAGTAATTGTGTTGATAAGGCTGATATTTAAGAAGCAAAGACAAAATATGTTATTTAGCAAAAAAACATTACTCCAGTGCTCTTTTTGATGAAAGGCAGAGAATGGAGCTATTGAGACATGGCAAGAGAAACTAAGTACTAAACAAAAAGTGAAAACTGTTATCCTTTTAAAGGACTAACAAATTTTTAGTAATTTAGGAACAAAAATTCTGAAGGAGAGGACATCAGCACTGAAATAATTACCTAAAGAAGAGGTAGAGTCTCCATATTTGGAAGAATAAGAAGGCAGACATCTGCTGGGAATGACATAATTCATCCTTGCTTGGAATGATGAAGTTCTTTCCAGCCCTACTATTCTTTGATGCCAGCTATGACTAAGTTTGGTAAACAGAAAAAAATAGACATTCTAACATTTTGTTCCTAAACTGTAAAAAAAGAACATTCGAGTACTGATTAGCTAAAATGTTGCTCCAGATACTCAGCTGGTCACTTGCTCTGCTTTTTCTCCCACTTTACACCTAAGCCCCTAGGACTATGTCTTGCAAAATGAAATCCCTCTATTTTAACCTCTTGCTTAGTTCTAAAATCCCAAGCATTCGAATATAAGGGATTGCTCTAATCTTTTGGCTATGGCCAAACACGTGCATTTCCTGTAATTAGCTGCAGCTTAGTACTTACTCATCTACAACTTTGTGAAAATACATTCACTACAAAACAAAACAAGGTTTTCACCTATAAAGGCTGTGACTTGTCTGTTTTGGTGTCAGGGCCCCTTAAAGCTCTATATGGGCCGCTCCTTACAGAGCAGTGATTTACCCTGGCACAGCTGCAGCTCAGGGGAATGTCCCACAAAGTGCCTCCTGAAGAGCCAGATATGGGAGCCTTATATTTTATTCTTTTCCTCAGCAATGTTTCTCCTTGGGAAGGCTTCTAAGTAGACCAATAAGCTCCGGTTTTGTAAAGGAATAAGCTCCTATACCAAAGAGTTATCATGATACTCTGCTGCCTTTAACATCCCAACAGATGAGCATATGGGGCAGCCCATGCATTAAAAGAAAGCTAAATGAGATACACCATGAAATCCATAAAACATAGGAGCTTTGGTGAAATGAGATTTTATGTTTGGAGGAAGACGACATAATAAACTGAAGTACAGGGGGTGACCAATCAAGTTTGGAGAAATGAGACAGCATTCAGTACTTCACAAAAGTGACTATAGGGGAATTTTCTGACTTTCAAGTCCTGGCTCTGTTACACTGTCAACACTGAAAATGTTCTCTATTTGGAGGATGATCTTTGAGTTGTAGGTAGAAGATTTCTATTGTGCAGTAAGTCTCTGCCTGTCATTTTTAAACCAATTAACATTTAACCCAGCGATTTTGGTCATAAATTTCATTACACACCGAGAAAATTAAAAGAGGAAGTCCAAACTGCTGGTGGAGTCTAAATAGGCACAGTCCATAGACCACCATTAGCTGAACACAGAACCACCCTATCAACATCTCTGCATCCTGACTGGCCTGCTGTACTACTGCAGCCTCTGAAGCACTGCGGAAATGGTGCACAAGACTAGCATGTGGAGAAAGATCCCTGGAAGATAATTCTTTAGGAATGGGTTGCTAGACACTAGTCACCTAACTCAGGATTCCCAGAGTCAGATGTGTGAATGCAGGATGGATGAGCCCTGCCTGTTGTGTTCTCTTTAGCCACTAGGAAAAAGATTTTCCCATAGTGAAATCCTGGTCTGAGGCTGGGGCTCTTTGAACATTATTTGTGACTTCTGAAGTTTTGGAAGTTGTCTAAATTGCTGTTGGCTACTATGAAAGGAACACCCAACAACACTGCTTTACGCACAGCCAGTTTGACAATGTGTAATGGGAGTCCTGCACAGATGGACGACTGAACAGCAAAAACATCAACCAACCATGCAACCATCCAGCGGGTGCCTGGTTGGAAGTTACACTTACCTTTCAAGGAGCTGTACTGAGCTATTTGTATCTGTCCTCACAGAGGAAAAAGCAACACTGGAATAGTTCTCACTTGCGAGAAAAGCCTCCATTAATGCATTCCACAACCAGAATTCTCAAACATTTGATCGAATGCTAACATGAATGAACATGAAAATTACATTCTTAGGCCCCAGGCATAATAAATGGCAGGGCCAAGTTACCTTGAAGCTGTAACCTTGATCTACAAGGAACCGTTGCCGTTTCGTTGAGTATGCCATTTCCTGAGTGTCTTGGGATACAAGAGAATAAAAAAAGGCATTGTATTCCTCTGCCACCATGCCTAGAAGACAAAATCATTCATTGATTAGTTCCACTTGGAACAATGGAGCAAAGAACAAAAAAAGGAATAAATACTGAAAATGGGCGTTTAAATAAGTTGTCTCCACAAAAACTATTTGCAAAGTTTAGCTGCACCCAGACTTTGCTAAACTGATTAACACAGCATAGGAACTCCTGCTCTTGTTTCTTAATAATTGAGAATAGGTGAAAAATCAAAAAAGGAAAAGGAAATGCCGACTAACACAATCACACAGATTCTTGGAGAAGAACCTGCCTCTTTATTCTGCTAGGCAAAGTGAAAGATAAAATTATTTTTAGGTCTATTATGTAAAGAAGCAGTCAAAAGCAATGCATGTCGAAAAAGCTTAATGAAAAGAGACAAAGGGAAAGTTTTATCCATGTAAACTAAAGTCTGCAGTGATTTTGTATTAAAAAAACTAAGATACTTAGCTAAGAATTCCTAAGGCTATCTGAAGTCCAGGATGTACCAGGCTGTTTAGCATTTATATTTTTTAACTTACAGTTCTTAAGGTCTATTCCACTAACAACACTGGGTACTGTTTTAAAACTCAGGGTTTCATTAAGACTTTGTTAATTCACTAACATGTGTTTTGTAAGCATTTTCAAACAAAGCCTCATCTGTAACATTCACAAACTGCACATAAAATCATTGTGTGCAAAGCTTAGGTGTGAGTGGAAAGCGGTTTAAGAATCATTTTTCTACGCAAAAAACTCCTCGGCACGTGTTGCAAAAAGATGCTGATCAAAAACCAAATGCAATTTTTACAAGCAAGTAATCTGCTGTATCAAAAACGTGCTTTCCAGAGGATTGCTTTTTAGAGCAATACTATGATTCTCTAAATATGATTTTGTTTTGAGGAAATTATCAAGGAATGAAAAAGTGAAAGAACAGCCGAAGAAAAAAACTTTAATTTTCTTCCAGCTTTCTTTTTTCCTTTGGAAGTTTTCCCATCACTAAGCTTTACCGACCCAGAAGATGCTTCATTTCCATTCACTGGTATATAGGCATATTCTCTTTGACTAAAACATAATCCAAGGAGGATATAAAGGAACACCATGAACATCCAGAGTCTCTGCTGCTCTAGGACATGATCCAAGGCCCAGAGCCCAACCACCCCCTCCTTTACCTTTTTTGGCTCTCAGCACTCGTCCCAGCCTTTGAGCCTCCTGCCTTCGCGACCCACCATGGGATGAGATCTGGATGAGAACGTTGGCTTCTGGCAGATCAAAGGACGTGTCACCCACCTATAACAGAGCAACAACCTCTGAGCAGGATCTTAATTCCATGTATCACCAACAAACAATATATACAAAGCACACCTTTCTTTGTGAGTTGCAATATGAAGATGTTAAATGCACACCATACACGTGTAACTTAAATAAAGTTGGCCCTGAAAACAGGTATGAGGACACAGCGAATGTCCTCACTTACCTTGGAAATGAAAATAGTGTTGATTTTTGGATTGTGCTTGAAGTTTTGTAGAATTTGCATTCTTTCCCCTTGTGCAGTAGGGCCATATATATAGGGTCTGAAAAGAACAAAACATATGCAAATGAAAGAAATTCAAGATTTTTCACTCATCTTTTATGAGGTATCATGGCTGGGAGAACAGTACACATTTGAACAGATACAAACCCAAAATATTTTGGTATAGCTTTCAATTTACTTTTAACTTGTTTGGCTCTTCATGGCAGCTGCCCAATGGTTTGTAGAACTCTCTGCAGCAACCCAGTCAGCCAGAAATAAATTGTCACAAATGTTTTGCAATTACAAGCACCAATGAAGCTGTATATAAGCAGATTGAATACATTTGCTAAGCCTACATGAAAGACTGAAGGCAGCTGTTAAAACGAAGACATTTTTTTCCTCAAATGTACTGAGTTAGCACAGTGACAGCTGCAACCTTTGCTTCCTATTTAAATACTTGAAAATCCAGGCTTCTCTGTCAAGGATACACTGAACGTCATAAACTGGCTGCTGATGTTGTTCTGGGAAAACTATTGTTGCTTTTAAAGCTAACCTCTTGCCCCTTCTAATACCTTCTGGGCCTGAGAACAAGGTCCCAAAGATTCCATGAGCAGCTCACAGTGGCATGTCACCTAAGGTTTCTAACATTTGACATGGAACATTTAGTATCTCAATCCTGAAGGTTCACACAAGCTCTCAGTCACCCATAGACTTCATGAGTAACTTGGACTACTCTGAATTTCCCAGGGTCTGGCTGTTTTGAGAGCAGAGCTGAAAAAACCTAAAAGCTAAAAACAGCAAAGCCCCCTCACCCCCCTAAAAGGATCAGACATGTAAGACAGCACATTGCTTTGTCATCTATTGCACTCCTTTTTCAAATGCTGGTTAACAAACATTTCTGAACAACAGGAATCAAGTTCTACTGTTTCTATTTTGTTCACATTTCCATACATTCTTTCTAACACAAGGAACCAAGCTCAAAGTTTTCATTTAACATTTGATATTGCACATTTATGAATGGCAGCTGACTAAAACTCTGCACGGCACTCGCTCCTACCCGCTGGGCTGCTCTCCTCAGCACACATGTAATTCCTGCCCCACCCAAAACAACAGTTCCCTTTGTTTTAGCTGCTCACAGCAAACTATGATACAAATATCTCTGGTTAAATCGAAGACTCCCTCACCTTCATCCAGCACTGCAAGTCTCCTTTTTTGGTAACACCGACAGCCAGATAACCTGGAGCTCCATGAATGATGGGAGAAACAGAGAATTCACTCAAGAACACTGAAAGGGAGCATCTACTATTTCTTCAACTGTTTTTCCCACCACGCTTCTGCTGCATCTACTCCACTTACAACTGCTGAGCTACGTAGCATCACCCCTCCCAGCATGCCCTTTGCTAAAGGCTTTGTCTGAGGTGCACTGAACGCTGCTAGGGACATTCCAGAGGCATCATTACAGCTAATCACTGTCCAGACAGATTTAAAAAATGATGAAAGAGACCATGAGTGTTGGAATTCATCCAGCACCATTAGCTCGGCTTGCTGTTTTGATGTCACAGCACACCAGCACCACACAGCTCTTAAACTACACTCAGAACTGATCATGAATTTAGGAAGTTTGAAAATGTAATTTGGAAAGCGTAAGACTTCTTTGTGTTTTGCTAAAGAGTACTGCTGGAATTCCTAGACATTAAATCATACACCATCCAAATGCCCCACAGCTTCCAGCAAGCAAGACATTATTTGGGCTTGACAAAGAAAAGATGAGGCCAACTTCTATGCTTATGTTCCCCAATAACCACTGTGCCTAATCCTGGCAAACTCTCCCTGATCATTCCTACCCTAACCCTACAAACACGCTGATGCTAACCCCTCATTAAACTCTATTTGTACAACCTTCCATAACCGCACTCACGTTACAGGCATTTAAGGCAGCCAGAAGCTCTCAGGAGAAATATCTTCCTTTTGTTTATTAAACAATTACAACAGTTCTAGGCAGTGCACTGGTACAGCACAGATCCCCAAAAAGTTTGTCTTAGTTTTTTTTTTTTTTACAGGGTTGAAACCTTTTGACAACCTCAAGAGGAAGGCTGTGGGTCCCAAAAGATCTTCAAAGATCCAGAGTGTGCATATTTGAAAACCTATGTCTCAGAGACAGGGGAAGCTACCATCCATTACAGAAAACAGTTCAAGTGATATTTTTAGAAGCCCCTCCTTTTTCAAATGGATGATGATGCTGATGATGGTAATAACAACAAAAATAATAACAGACGGAGAAATACTGTCCTTCACAGAAATACTGGATGTAAACTCCTCTGAAACAAGTGCTAAACAGAGATTCTTTTTAAACTGTTCCACACAGAAATAATGTTGCATTGCCAGTAAGATCCGTCCAAAAATACCCTCCTGAGCTACTTTTTATACAGAAGGATTGGAATGAAAGCATTACAAGAAATATCAGAGACTACTGAAAGCTGTGAGATTGCAAGGAAATTTTCATGGAAGGAGGAAAACAACAGTGCCATCATTGGTTGTGAACACTTACTTCCCAAGTCTGACTGCATATTCCTTCAGTGCAAACACATTGTCAGCAAATACGATGATTTTATCATTCCGTCGCTCATGAAATTTAATCAGGAACTGGCAGGCTCTGAATTTATTTGGGTTCATGGTGTACAGCAGTATCCTTTTCTTTGTTTTGATAGCTACATATTCTCTGTAAAATTCAGGTGACATTGGGCACCAGACCTACGATTAGAAAACACACACACATAAAATAACCCTCTGTTATTTACTCATTTTATTCCAGTGGGAACAGGAAAGATACTGGGATGATAATGGATTAGGACTTTCTGTATAGCGCAGGGCGCAGGTTTTAACACAGTAATTTCTGTAGCAAAATGAAAGCAATCAACTGGTGTAGTCTCTAGCACTGCCAAAATCTGTTTAACCTCATCAACATTTCAGCCTTCCCAAATGCTTTGGGATTGAGATCCATGACAGAAATAGGCAGTGCGACTGGAACGAGACTGAAAAATAGTTCCTTTATGTTTCATACTTAAGTAATCGAGAGATTGTTTGAGAGCAATCAAAGTAATGAACTGTCTGTATAATCTCCCTGTCACAGAAGTCAAAGCTTTTTCCATAAAGATTAACTTTGATCCATATGCTGAAAGCTGAGACACATTTAGTCTCCATTACAGAACAAATTTTCCAACCTTTTTTCATTTACCAACAAAGGAGTGACCTTTATTTTAACAGCTAGGGTCTAGAACTTCCAAAACACTAGCAGTGATTAGAAGTGTTCAACAGCCTTCCCTAAGCAATTACTTTATTATGTAAATAACTATCATAGTACTCCACAAATCCAGGCTAATTTTTTTACTGTAGCATGAAAATAGAAGAAATTATGAAGTTTAAAAGATTATGCCAATGAAATTACACTATCAATAGTATACAATGATACAATCCATAGGGCATATAATTTAGAAAACATTCACTCTGCTGTACATGGGTTATTCTCCCATATCCATATTAACAAAATACTGCAGAGAAAAGCCTCTTTAATAACGACCATTCCACTGAGAAAGTTCAGTGAAAATTTACAGTTTCTTTAAATATGAATTGTTCTGTACTGTTAGAAACTAATTTTTTGTTTCAAAACATTTTTTCCAGCGAGTTAAATGCTGGATTATGCTTTTTTCATTGCTTGACTACATTAAAAATAAACTTATGCACTGAATAGGCTCTTTTATCGTGTGCTGTCTGTATGAAAGCCTTTAAACTCTTGAATCAGAAGAGAATGACATCAAAGTGACAATGAGATATGAGTACTGAATATTTGACTGCAGTAAAAAATTTCATCTGTTGCTCATGCCTCTGACTACATGGCAAATCCAACATATTTTGAATTTGCATTTTCTTCTGGATTCGAAAATGGGTAAGATCTGGCCTCTCCTGGCTGTGGAGAATGACTAAAGATGCTACTGCTCGACAACACATCAAGAAAATCCAAACAAATATACAGTGCAGTTGTGCATGTATTGGACTTGTTATTTATCAGCCATCAATATTGGAGGTTTTTATCATTTGCTTTTGGTAGTGTCATCCAATGTCAGCTCAAAATATTGGCCTAAAGAATATAAACTTGCAGAATTTTCCCATTATTCACAACAAAACGCAGCCCATGCTTCACAATTCTGCTCATGAGGCAAAACTACCCAAAGCGCCTAAACTGGTAACTGAATTTGAGGACTGGTTACTCTCCCTTCAACCCAGTTATCTTCTAGGTGCCCTTTACTTGCATTCTGCAAGTTCATAACAGTGGGTTTTGTTTCTTTCCTTCTGCAACCTCCAGTTTGGACAGTGTTCAAAAAGGATGAAGCTGACCTGCATCTGCATCTTTTATTCCAATACCAGAGCTAGGAAGAATTGCACGAAATTAGCAAGACAGGCTTAAAATAAACCACAAGAATAGTAACAATAACAACAACAACAAGACAAAAACCAACAAAACAAAACAAACCAACACAGAAAATCCCCTCAAACAATGGGGAAAAAATCCCCCCAAAACCCAAAGAGATAAGAAACAGTTATGAAACTACCATAGCGCATTGTAGCTGCTAAAACTTTCATTCAGTGAGAGTCAGGACAAGTTCATCAAAAAGAAATCTCCTGATACTTACACAGTAACCATGTACAGCTCGTAAATAATGGAGAGCTTGGAGAAATTACAGGAAAAGTAACACAAATGTTTGCCCTATTTTTATACTCTTCCCTAAGTAACTTTGTTGACAATTATCAGAGACAATACATTTAAGTCAGACTTTTAATCTGACCCAGAAATTACTTTAACATTCTAATGTGCCCGTGTGAAAGACTTCTGATTCTGATACCAGATTTTCCTGTCACCCATACGCTGTAAAGAACAGAG